CAGTCTAGCCAAGTCTTTCAATTAATTGAGCCTCTGAGATGTAGTATCGCTTAATTTGAAAACTTAGGTTTTGAGAGTTAGAGGTGAGTCCACTACTTCCTGGTAATGGGACCATAGCTAAGTTGCTAACCTCTCAGCAGCTGCATCCTCATCTGTGAAATGTGAACAGAGACACCTACTTCACCATGTTCTTGGTGGATTGAATGGGAACATGCATGTAAAATGCCTAGTGCCATGCCTGCTCTTGTTGCTGAAGCTGGTCCTTCTCACATCTTGAACAACAAATGGGTCCATGTGCAGGAAGCTAGTTTTCTCCCTAATGTTGTCAAAATTGGTTTCTTTTCCCATAATTTTGTGTTTTGCTAAGAATCACCCTTAACTGGATCTTTCCCCCTGTTACGTCACCAACCTGCCTGTTCTCTCTCACCCTTCTTGGTTCTCAGAACACATATTGAAAGGTGGGGTGACTGGAGGGGCTGTCCCTCTGCTGGTAGCATGCAGGTATGGTCCAGCTTGGCTGTGTAACCGACAAGTGAGGCAGGAGAATTGGGTCTCTGGTGTTTTCTGGCCAAGGCTTGTGCTCAGTTCACAAGTGGTAAGCTGGGAGCTATGAAATTTGATTTTCTCCAATTCCTTTCCACACAGCAACTTTGTAGCACTTAGGAAATTGGTTCTGAAATATGAAAGTGAGGAAATGATGGCATTTCTTTAAAAGTGAAAGCCTGTGAGCAGTTGATTATCTCATCAGAGCACCCCTAAAAAGTATTTTATCTGAGTTGACATTCCCCCGTTGCATGATGAAATCACAGGGTCTCGGCTTAGATTTGATAGACTGTGGGTCAGCACACATTTCCTATAAAGGGCCAGAGAATAAATATTTTCAACTTTGTAAACCATGGAGTCTTAATTCATCTCTGCTATTAGAGTGTGAAAACAGCCTCAGACAGTGTTAATGGATGTGTGGCTGTTCCAATAAAATTTTATTTACAAAAACAGGTGGCAGGCTGAATGTGGCCTGTGGGCTATAGTTTGCCAACCCCGATACTGACATTTGAGAGGCAGCTGAGAATAATGGGTGAGAGCCTAACACTGGACTTGGGTTAGTGTGGACTCCAGCTCTGCTCTTTTCTGCCTCTGACTTGGGCAGGTCAGTAAGGAGCAGGCATAGCTGCTCACTGAATTCTCGTGAGAGTACAGGGAGATGGTGTCTATGAAGACTGTGGCACGGGGCCAGGCACATGTGAACACCAGCTGCTGCTGTGTCACTTGTTGCCCCCCTTGTGTCGCCACCAGTCTCTTGATGGGAGAGGCTGTTGGGAATGATTTTAGCACACGGAAAGGCTAAAGCTGTTGGAAACTTATTTGCTTGTTTATTTTTCAAGCCTGAAGTCTAAATGCAAAAAATCTGTGGCCTTCTGGAGCTGCTGAGAAGGTCACCCTTGTTGCCGAGTGCTGTGGCTTTCACAGCTGAGTAGGTAAACAATGCAACTAAGTGGAACCAGTTAGACAAGTCAAGCCAAAAAATAAAGATAAGGTTAAATATCGACTTTATTAGACTCAGCTTGTTTTGCAGCTTTTATAACAAAGACTAAGCTAGTTGTTGGGGAAGGATGTGACCAGTCAATTCCACCTATTCAAGGACTTACAGTTCATTCTTCAGCAAAGCTACCAACCAACCGTCTCTTCTGTTCCTGGTGTTAGGCTCGGCCTCATGGGCAGCAGATGGTGGACACCGAGCTGGGACATTTCTCACCCTGCAGAAGCTCACAGTCTAGTGAAAGGGAGTAGAGAAATGCGTGGACAACCACAGTGTAGGGCTGTGGCTTGGTTCTGACATCCCCACCAATATTCTAGCCCTTTCTTTCCCCAGCCCTGCTCTCTGTTCCAGTCGAGACAGGTTCCACTGCTCCCTTACACCCTCATTCTGAATTCTTTTGTCCATTCATTCATTTAAAAAATATTTGAATGTGTAATATGTGCCAGTAAATAAGACAAGGTCCCTCTGGCATAATTGAAGAAACACAGGTATTCACAAAATAATGCTGTGGGGGTGAGGGAAATAGCTCTATGAGAACTAATGCCTTAAAAAATGGTCTAGACAGGGATTCCATGGTGTATGTATATTTGTGTTTGTATATACATACATGTATAGGTTGTTTTGTATAGAATTGGGGGCAAACTATACATACATACTGCTCCTTTCCTCTCATTCCATTGCTTTTTCCCTTTCTTGATGATTCAATTCTGATTCCTTGCACAATTCCAGTATACCCAACTTTACTTAAAATATATACTTAGGTCATTAATATATTGGTACACACACAAAGTGTGTGTGTGTGTGTGTGTGTGTGTGTGTATATATATATTTAAAGATTTATTTATTTATGCATTCAAGAACTGTGGTATAGGTCAGAGGTGTGGGGGGTGGGTGAGAGGATTCACCAGAGACAGAGTGGGGAGCAGAACAGGCAGATCTACTGAAATATACTGCTGAGGGGAGCAGCAGGCGAGACAGGAGAGGTCTGCTGTGCCATGTGGGTAGCTCCCTGGCCGGGGATCAAACTCTGCTGCAATGGCTGCAGACAGCCTCATAGATTGTGCATTAACCCCTTGTGCCACCAGGGAGGCCCAAAGTATATTTAGGTTAAGAACAATTTGGGTCCTCCCCACACTGGCAGATAGAGCTTTCATTTCATTATCTCAACTTAATGCCACACTATAAATTTTGTTGTATACTTTTTTTCTCTTACAGTTTTTCTTCTCCCCCAAACATTTTATTTTGAAAAAATTCAACTGTATCAAGTTTGAAAGAATGAACCTAAGTGAATACCTAGATTCACCAGTTGTTAACATTTTGCTTCATTTGCTCTCTCTCACTATAGATTGAATCTTTTATTTTTCTAAACCATTTGTCAATTGCAGACATCATGACACTCCACCCTAATGAATATTTTAGCATGTACCTCCTAAGAACAAGTAATTTCTCTTTTTTAGCCATAAAACCATTTTCATAATAAAGAAATGTAATATTAATACTATTATATAATATCATCTAGTGTATAGTCAGTATTAAATTTTTATAAAAGTCAAAACAGTCCTTTATAGCTGATTGTTTTTAAGCCATGGACCAATCAAGGATCATGTATTGCATTTAGTTCTTCTATCGCTAAATTCCCATAATCTAGAACTGTTTCCCTACTTTTTTTTTTGGCTTTTGTAATCACAGTTTTGAAGAATTCATGTCAACTGTCTTGTAGAGGGTTCCAGCGTGAAGCTGTCTGATGATTTCTTTGTCTCTGGTCCAGGTTAAACATTTTAGGAAGAATACAACATGGTTGATGCTCTTCCCTTGAAGTCACCATCATGAGTACAATTTTTGTCTTATTATTGGTGGTGTTGCCTGTGATCATTTGTTGAAGGTGGTTATTTGTCTGCTCTCCCCATTTTAGGTTATCTACCACCGCACCCCCACCCCATGAAAATAGTAAGTTTTGACAAATGCATGTGCCTATGTTATTCCCACCTGATCAAGATGTGACACTTCTATTACCACAAAAAAGTTCCTTTGGGCCCTTCCCAGTCATCCTCCCCACCCCTCAAGCAGTGCTGATCTGATTTCTTCATTATTCTCTTTGATGTTTAAATTACCCCAAATGTTGGCTGTGAAAGGCCCATGTAGTTGGCTCTGTGTCCCTTTGATGTGTTGCTTTCAATCTTTGAGCACTTTCTTGCTTTCTGGCACAAGAAGATGCTTTGGTTTTTTTTTTTTTTTTTTTTTAAGATGAAAACATCCCATGGTATGGATACTAGTTAAATAATTTCTCCATTGATGGGCTCTTAGGTTGTTTTCTTTTTAATCTGGTTAAAAAAATGCCACAGCGAACATCTGGAACACCTATTTTTGCACTACTTCTGTGAATATTTTCATAGGCTAGAGCCTATAAAAAGTGGTTATTTCTGCATCAAAGAGTATTTACATTTAAAGTTTTGATTGCTATAGCCAAATTCTTCTCTCCCCTCTTGAAAAGTCATGTTAAGCTTCCACAAACAATGCTGGTTACCCTGTAGCCTTACCAGCATTGGATTTTCACTGTCTGTATGTATAGGGTGGCATAGAGTTTGACTTTGATTTTATTCTGGAGCAAGGTGATCATCCAAACCACAGGTCCTCCTTTTTGGTTCCAAGACAGTTTTGCTTTGCATAAAAATGAAAACTTCCCTCAAAGATTTCCCAAGGCGAAATCTTTGCCATTTTCTGTCATTCACTGTCACATTCACCATTATAGATAGTTTTTGGTGGAGAATATTCTCACTGTTTTATTCTACATTCACTGACTGTGGGAGGTAAGTGGGAGGGGGACAGAGATGATGACATTGCCCTAGGGCTTCTGGTTCTCTCGAGCAGTCTATAAAATTTGGTTCACAGAAATACAGTGTTCTGTATTTCTATCCTTAAATAGTGTTGGAACTGAATTTTATTTTTTTGATGAACCTTGATACATCTATATTTGGAGTAGCAGGTTTATCATTGCGCGTGTGTGTGTGTGATAATTCTCTAAGTTCAGCTAGTCAAAAAAGTCTGTTTTTGCTTTAATTAAAACTTTGAGGGCTTCCCTGGTGGCGCAAGAGATGAAGATACAACCTGAGAAGCTATCCACAGCCACTGCAGCACGAGTTCGAGCCCCAGCCAGCCAGGGAGATAACCACATGGCACAGCAGACCTCTCCTGACTCACCCTCTGCTCCCCTCAGCAGTGTATTTCAGTCAGTCTGCCTGTTCTGTTCCCCGCTTTGTCTATGGTGGATCCTCTCATCCCACACACCTCTGGTCTGTACCCCAGTTCTTGTATGCATAAATAAATAAATCTTTAAAAAAAAAAAGCAACTTTGGACCTGAGGTTAAACATCTTTGTAGATGACCTGTTTTCTTTTTTTCAGGTTGAAGTTGTTTGAAAGCTGTTGTCTCTTTGCTAAAATTACCTGTGTTGATTTTCTTTATAGGTATTTGAAGCTGTGATTTCATGGATCAATTATGAGAAAGAAACCCGATTAGAGCACATGGCAAAGCTGATGGAGCATGTCCGTCTCCCTCTCTTACCTAGGGATTACCTAGTCCAGGTGAGTGCTGTGTGAAGAACCAAGCACTTCCTGTTCTTCGAGGCCTCTAGGAACAGCATTGGGCAGCCCTAGTTGTCTGGGATGGTTGAGGAGTTTTGTGGCTGTTTTGTTTGGTTAAAGGCACCAACCCACTTCGTTAAGTGTGAGGAGTGGTAGTGTAAAGGTGAAGAGAGAGGTTTGAGAATAGGACACTTAGGTTTCAGTCCCTTCACTACTTGGTTAGCTTTGGGTTTTTGCTTGGCTGCCTACAGCCTCATTTTCTCCTTCTGTGGAAGGGCTATGATAGTGTCCAGGAGTGTTGTTGTGAGAGCCAAAGGGGTTGTAAAGGTTCAGGTTGGTGTTTAACATGGCGCTGGATCTGACAAGTATTCAGAAAAGTTAACTGCTGTTATTTTAGAGCACCAAAGCAAGAAGAGTCATTTCTATATTTCTATATTCCCTTTTTGCCTTAGTTTTAGGCAGCTTGGAGTCCAAATCAGGACTGTAAAAACCAGCATCTCATAGTTGCCTGGCATACATATTGCTTCTACTTCTTCAGAGAAAGGAAAGAAAAATTAAGAATTGTAGGGGGCCCCTATGGTAGTCCAGTTTTTCTAATCTAATTCTTAAAATAATCCAATGAGGCAAAGATTATATCTCCTTGTTTTACAAATTTGGGCTTTGGGACTTATGAAGATTAGGTTTTATATGAAGTCCAAGCTAGTAAGAGGCAGGGTCAAGGTTCAAATTTAAATCTGTCAGGCTCTAAAGTATATCCTTTCTGTTAAATAGGCTGCCACCTTTACTACTCTCTGTTCTGCTTATCCTTTTCATGACTTATTTTATGTGGTAGCAGAGGATAAAAACCTAAATACATGCACAAAAGAAAATACCAAGGTAGTTGACTAGCCCTTGGCTTTCCCTGAGAAGTCTCTGGCATGAATGGAAGATGTGAAGAAAGGGTAAGAGGAGGCTCATCTAGTGAAAACAGCACCTGCCTTTATAGAATTATTTTGGGGGCGGGAATGAGATTATCCATTGTCAGTGAGCCTTCACAAAACAGTGGTCTTCACAACCTCGGCAACAATTGGCAATAGCAGGAGACATCACATCCTCACCTGCACTAATACAGTCCCCAACATTGGACACTTGACCACAGGCCTTAGAGGTAGCTCAGTGTTCTCAACCTCAGCCCCCTTCTCAGCTGCTCTGCCTGCATTTGACACTTTGGATGTACTAGTGCCACCTGGTGGCAGCACATCCTTCCTGTAGAAAAGGTGCTCTGAGCCTAGAGAATGAATGTGCCTGAGCCCAAGTGTCAGTCAAACCTCCCATTGTCCTGTGGGAAACTGACCGTAGGTAGATGTGGTTGGCTAGTCTCCAGCACAGTCTCACTTCCAGAGGGAGGAAGGGTCAGTGTGGATCTGGGCTCCAGAGAAAGCTAAAGGCGCCTGACAGATCCCAAGTCGTAACCTCTGTCCAGTGTCTGAGCAGGAACTTAACATAGGCATTAGAAGTAGTTCCTGGGTTATTATGGCAAGGTAGGAGTTAGAGTGGAGAAGAAGGGGGTTGGAAGCAACAGGCATGAGAAATGTTGAGTGGGACCCTCTTTTAAAAATAAGTTTTTTCATACCCTTTAAAAAAAAGGCTCTCTTCAGAACATATCTGAAAAAGGGTATTTTATTAACATCTATTAGACCTTGAAACTTCAAACTAGTATTAATCTCTCTGGGAATAGCAGATGGTGGTAGAGGAGGAGGCAAAAAGGAACTCACCAACACTGACTGCTGGGAGAGATGCTTATCTTTTTCTTTCAATAGTTATCGTTTACTACATGTTTATTAAATATTTTTAAAATACTATCCTAAGTATAGAACATGCTGAATCCTTGTAAAATTTTTTATTGTGATAAACTATATATAAGTAAACATTATCATTTTAACTATTTTCATTGTGAAATTCATTGGCATCAGTTGCATTCACCAAACTGTACTGCAACACCCCCAAATTGAACTACCGCTCTGGGAGAGCTTTTCTTTAAAGCTGAATGAGTTATTTGAGAGAAAAACTGTCACATTTCTTTTTCCTCTTATGTTTTTTTTTTTTGTATTTTTCCTCTTTTTTTTTTTAACTGACCCTAAAAGTTTATGATTCATTCTAGTCTGTCTCAGTCCCTATTGGGAGGGGATAAAAGAAAACCTTTCAAGGAAATGGGGTATTCCTGGGGATCATCTCTGGGGAAGGAGGTTTCAGAGGTGACAAAGGCCCATTCTTGAAGCCAGTTCTTCACACCCTGCCAGCTCCAATGGCAAGTAGTAAGTGTTGGCCCTGGTCATTTTATTCCGAGTTACAGTAGGGACCCAGGAGAGGCTCAGCCTGGTCTTGCACTTGATCAGGTTGAGGGTTGAGATAATTGAGGTGGGGAGACTCCTCCCAATCTCTGACTGGACCTGAGCCCCTTGTGTTTAGAATCCTTGTTTTGTTTGTCATTTCATCTTGCAGTCTAGCAGGGGCTTAGGTAGGGGGTCTGCCCACTGAGGAGACATTTAGTCAGTGTAGCTGTTGAATGGAATTCACCTTCCCCATCAACTCCCAAATACATGAAGTGGCCTCTGAAGACCACAACACTCCCCCCACACACATACTCGCCACTGGGCCAAAAGTGGAGATTTGCGAGTCACCATACTCACATGGTTCCACCACGGGCCTGACTCATGAAACATTTAGGTTAAATTTGCTGAGGACCTGCTAGGCTCCCGTAGCTCTGGAGTACAAGGTAGAAAAGCCAGATTCCCAGCCTACATGGATTCAGCCTGCAGTAGGTAGATGGGACTTTTGTACAGGACATTCTTTTTCTTCTCTGTTATCACTGGTCTGTCAGAGAGCACCTCACTAGCTGGTTTGCTCCTTGAGGCTTTGATTACAGGAAAATATATATGAATTATTCTTCTTGACTGCCACCTTATCTTACTCAGTGCCTCCAAAGGTTGGCTGATGAATTCCACTCTTCCTCTTTCCTTCCCTCTTCTCTCTTTGCTGTAAACATTACTAGTGCATTCAAATCAGGAGAAGTGTAGGAAGAGGCTTTCAGGACAATTAATGATCTCTGTTTCACATCATCCAATTTAAGCCTCAAAACAAACACAACCAGTGAGGTTGTAGGGCACTTTAAGATACCTATTTTACAGAAGAGAAAACTAGGATTAGAGAAGGTAAGTGGTAGAGCTGTTTGTATTGCTGTCTGTTTGATGCCAGACTTAAGCACTTACTGTGCTTTTGAGCTGTAGGAGGTAGGCACTATGTTGTAACAAGTCCTGGGATCTGAGATAATGTGATATGGGAATTGATGAGTATGGGAATGCAAGAATAACTCGTCCCTGGAAGACAGCTTGGGAAATAAGAAGAACTCTGCTCCAGGATCACCTGTGGGTTATTACCTCCAGACAGTTGAAGAAGAAGCTTTGATAAAGAATAACAACACCTGTAAAGACTTCCTCATCGAGGCCATGAAATACCATCTGCTCCCTCTGGATCAGAGGCTCTTGATTAAGAACCCAAGGACCAAGCCCAGAACTCCAGTAAGCCTGCCCAAGGTAAGCCTTAGCCCAGTCACTGCCAAGAGTCAGGACTGTTTCCTAAGAAAGTGACCTTCCACTCCTGCCTCCAGCTCTTTACCTGTGGCTGCCCTGCATCTTGGTTGTGTTTCCCAACTAGGAAATGGAGTCTGCTGGTTCCTCTTGAATCTGCTGTTACCTCTCTTCCAGGGTCTTCCTTTCCTAAAAATTTCAAGGTAATTTCCAGTGTCATCAGGGAGGCTTGAGAATAACTCAGAGCTCTTTTCTTTTTCACACTGTAGTTTGGGCTGTATTTCCACTGGAAGCAGAGGAGTGGTTGTGTGGGTCTTAGTGATCACCATAACAGTCCTGTGGGTTCCTTCCATCACCACAGAGTCATAAAGGACAACTAGGGCTGCCCAAGGAGAGAAGGAGCCTTAAGGAATCTGACAGGTGATAAGGCAGGTGAAGGAAATGGGACCTGGTGAGGGGCAGCTAGGGACAGGAAGGCTGAGCAGAGGAGGGACTCCATGATCAAGAGTCTAAAAATAAATTGAGTCCTGCTGGGTGGTGACAGCTTTGCTTTCCTGAGAGCCCCTCCCATCTCTGGGCCTCAGGTTCTTCAACTGCAGAGTGAAGGCTGCTGCACTAGATACTATCTGAAGTCTTTCCCTCTTGGCATTCAAGTAGTGTTTCTAGGATCCAAACATATGATGTCTGGGGGAAGCTTCCAGCTAACCCAGAGGAACTGTGGGAGGAAAGGAGAGGGGGAAGTTGAGTTGGCTCAGGGACTGCACAGTAGGCAGTACCCGGAAATTACTTAGGCTTTTGCTTTCTCCTCCTTGTCCTCCTCTTTCTAGCTGACTGTCATATTCCTTGCCTACCTGCCAGGTAGGGTTTCACAGGGGTGGAAAAGCATGTTTTGTCCAAGAACAGATGTTTGGATTCTCTGAGGTTTGCAGTTCCTTCTCTCCACTGTGCTCTGGGCCCCTGGAGAACAGAGTGATTGCTGTGTTAAGGAAGGTTACAGATGTCCCAGATAATAATAAAAAAAATAAACAAAAACAAAAAACTGCTTACTTTCATTGAATGCTTATTATGTGCTAAGCAGTGAAGGAATCACATGCATGTCTTTTTTAACCCTTTCATCAACCCTACAAGATTGCAGCAGCTGTCCTAATCCTACAAAGAGGAAACTGAGGTTCAGAGAGAGTAAATGATTTGCCCAAGGCCAGTCCAGCTAATGTGGTAGAACAAACATTTGAAGTGAATCTTTCTCACTCACCAACCTGTTCTCTGAAGTCATGCCATCCTGCACCTGGCTTCACTTTGGTAAACCTGGGAGTGTTTACTTACCTGTCTGCCTCCCATGGCCTAGTGCTGGTTAGAGGGTCAGCCTCAGGGCAAGGACCTTGGTCTGGTTAACCATTTGCCTCATTGCACATTGACAGCTTTTGTTTCATTGAAACTTCTCCACATTTAAAAAAATGAAAATAACTTAGCATCCTTTAACTATAGAAATAAGTGCTCATTGTAGATCATTAAAAGAATTCTGCAACTTTAAAATAAAGTAAAAATCACCTGAAATTCTCCCACCCAGGGTAATCAATGTCATTTTGGTGAATTTTTTCCTGGACATATGTTTGTGTCCTTATTCATAAGTAGATAAAAATGTACACTTTTGGATACATTGAATCTTGCTACACAGATTGAAAACTTTTTTCTCCTACTCAGCCATATGCTACAGACTACTTTTAATTTTATCAGTATGGTGGAAATCAACATTGAAATTGTAATAGCTATTATATATATGTATTTATATAGCTATATTTATGTATTTATTTTTTAACTTTCCTTTATTGGTTGGCTTTGAAGTAATTTCCACTCTTTTAATACTGACGGCATTTGTTTTATTTCTCCTTTAAAAGATGGCATCTTATTTTAGCTTGCATTTCTTTAATGGTGATTGAAGTTAATCTTGATTTCATATGAGTAGTGGCATTTTTATTTCTTTTGGGGAAAAATCGTCTTTTTGTCCTTTACCCAGTTTTCTATTGGACGGCATTTTTAAAAACCAATTGTTTGTAGAGCTTTTTGTACTTCAATTTTTTTTTTAAGATTTATTTATTTATTTATACAAGCACTGGGTACAGTCAGAAGCGCGGGAGGGTGAGAGAATTTACCAGAGCCAGAGCAGGGAAGCAGAACAGGCAGAAGGACCGAATACACTGCTGAGGGGAGCAGCGGGCATGGCAGGAGAGGTCTGTGCGCCATGTGGGACCCTCGCCGGTGGCTGGGGATCGAGCCGGGGCTGCGGGCAGCTTTGCAGCCCAGTGCTCATCCGCTGCACCACCGGGGAGGCCCGAGCTTTTTGTACTTTAAAGTGGTTACATATTTTAGATCATTTTTTTCTTAATATGCAGTTTGTCTCTAAACTTGTTCATAACAGTTTTTTGAATCCCAGAGAACAACTTTTAAGTAGTTGTTGATCACATTGATCTGTCTTTTGCTTTGTGGCTTAGGCTTCTCATCATGGTTAGAAATATTCTCCCTACTATGAGATTAAAAAAATAACTTCCCTTTTCTTTCAAACACTTATGATTTGTGTTTTACACTTGCATTTTTGGTGCACTTAGAATTTATTTTGGTGTAAAGAGAATAAGAATCCTGTTTTATTTGTATTACAAATTTTGAGTCACTTGTCCCAAAGGGGCAAGTTGTCTTCTCTCCTTTTGATTTGAATAACATCCTCTTTATGATCTGAATTTTATAAGCTTTATGTCTTGAGGATATTGGTTCTGAGGTGCACTGTTGTTTGAGATGGAGGAGCCCTTTTACATCCCCAGCTTTCACCAGGCCTTGTTGCATGTCTCTGTGACTTTTCTCTTTGGAAACTGAGTTTCTCATCCTATATGATATCAGGTTTACCTTTGCCTGGGGATGAGTTCTGGAGCTAAGGAAAGGATGCTGAGCTGGTCGAGTTTATTTGTGTAGAGAATATACTCAGCAACATGTCTTTTATACTCCACATTTAACTTTTACCCCATATGCCCACAAAAAAGATAGTTTTGAAAATAGAAGCCAATATTTGTTTCTGAGCCTGGACTAAGCCTGCTGGGAGTACCTCCCCATACCTCCTGGAAATTGAGCCTACAGTTAAGAAAAGTCCACTCCTTGTTTCAGGAAAAGCTGCCTTCTGCCACCTCTACTGCTTAGGAACCATTTATTTTTAGAATGAAAATGGTTATATTCTTGGGCACCTTGCCTGTGGAGGCAACTGGAACCATAGCTTTATTTGAATTTGTTGAAGAAATGAAAAAAGACATCATTGCCATTTGCCTTTTTTGTTCCCCCTACTCTGATTCTTAAATGATGTAAAGTTGTATTGTCCACCAGCTTCTCAACTTAATGGGTTCCCCACTGTGGGTGTGAGGGGATGGAACTCAGAGAGGGAAATTATCACTTTGAGGATTATCAGATTGTACATTTTTTCATTAAATCATCACAATAATAGGTCAGTACTATTACTATGCAGAGTTTACTGAGCTTACTCAGAGAGGTTAAGTAACTTGCCCAGTTATAGAGCTAGTTGAGCTGTGGTTTGAGCCAACATCTGTTCCACTCCAAATTCTGCTTTTTTTCTACTATCAAGCTGCCTACCAAGCAACAGTTTTTCAGGTTTTGGTGGCAGATGAGAAAGTCTTTTCTTTATTTTTTTATCAGCAAAATCTCCTTTAATTCAAGCACTATAACACTCTCTCATGTCATTAAGAGATGCATTGCCAATGCATTTACTTTCACATTTTTATATAGGTTTAGGTTCATACAAAATTGTGGGGAAAGTATAGTTTTCTGATCTACTCTCTGTCCCATATGCATACCTGCCCCATTATCAATAACCTAGATTATTTTTTCTTAAATTCAGATTTTTTGAAGTACAATAATTTTACATAGTAAAATTCACTCTTTTTAGGGAGCAATTTGGTGAATTTTGACAAATAGTTATGTAACCACCATCCAATTCAAAATACAGAATAATCACAGTAATCACTGCAAAAGGTTGCCTTATGCTATTTTGTAGTCAGATCTCCCACTCTTAGCCCCTAGCAACTACTGGTCTGTTTCTGTCTCATAGTTTTGTCTTTTTCAGAAATGTCATATATATATGGAATCAAGTTGTATGTACCCTTTAGAGATTGGCTTCTTTCTTTTATCATAATGATTTTGAGATTCAACCATATTATTGAATATATCTGGAGTCCATTTTTTTTTTACTGCTAAATAATATTTCATTGTATTGGTACACTGTTTATCCATCTACTGACTGTTGGACATTTGAGTGTCTAGTTTTTGAACACTTATTTACTTGTGATTACTTACAAATCTGTGTATGAATATGTATTTTGATTTATCTTGGTAAATATACCTAGCAGTAGGATTGCTGGGTTGTATAGTAAGTCTTTATTTAACTTTATAAGAAACTGCTAAACTGCTTTTCAAGATGACTGTACCGTTATACATTCCCACCAGCATTATATGGGAGTTCCAATTAATTCACAGCCTTACTACCTCTCGTATTATCTATTTTTAAAAATTCTTAGACATTCTAATAGTTATGCGGTGGTATCATATTGTGATATTTATTTGCATTTCTCTAATGACACGATGTTGAGAATCTCTTCATGTACTTATTATCCATCTGTATCTTCTTTGGTGAAGTGTCTTTTCAGATCTTTGGCCATTTTAAACATTTGGGTTGCGTTCTTATTGAGTTGTAAGTGTTCTTTATATATTGTAGATACAAGTCTTTTATTCAGTATGTATTTTGCAAACATTCTCCCTTAACCTGTGCCTTGCCTTTTTTTATTCTTAGCAGTATCTTTGAAAAAGAAGCCTTTAGTTTTATTTTTTTTTTCTGTCACAGTTAATGTATTTTGTGTTCTATCTAAAAAATATTTGCCTAATCTAACATCACAAGGATTTTCTGCTATGCTTTATGTATTTTAAAATTTTAGGTTTTATATTTAGGTCTATGGTCC